CTGGCCCTCGCCGCTGGCACCGCCGAGGGCCAGGACGCTGGCGCCGGGCTGCCCGCCGGTCAGCACCGGGACGAGCCACGGTACCCGGGCTCCTTGCCCAGCCCCACCCTAACCCTAAAAATGAAAGGTGTCTCCACCACGAGCTGCTTCACAACACATTTTTCATTAAAACAAACAATCTCTTCACATACGAAACCAATGAACATCTTTCTCCTCCTGATCATTGAAGGCCAATTAATTAATTGAGCTTAATTGTATGTTACATTCCAAACAATACTGTTGCACTTATTTATCATGTTAATTGCAATGTTAAATGAAAAGACAATAAATTATTACTTAAATCATCAAGATGCCTAACGTGGGATTTGGGACGGGGCAGGCCTGCCCCGTGTCTCCGCACTGGCTGATTTCCTGGGATCAACCCGCGCTCGTTCTGCAAACGACGCAGCAGACGCGAGAGCATCACTGCTGACATCACTGAACTACACATTTACGGACCACGGAGATTCCTCCACTGTGTTTCCAAGTGTTTGGAGCACACAGTTTACATTCCACACCTAATCAAATGACACAAAATAAAAAATTTTGAAAAATCAATGTGGCACAACTATGGTACATGATCTGAAGCGAAGAATTTTACTCTAGAAAGTATTTAATTAAGCTTGCATCTTTTTTTCCTTGCTTCCCACAGCAGCCAAGGGGTGAGAGCCTGTACAGCCACAGCTCTCCCTGTCAATCTGCCTACAGAACAAGCAGACACAGGCTCGGAAGAAGCAGGGGCAGGAGGGGTGTTGAAAACCAGCTTCTGCATTCTTTCTTTAAAAGAATTTTAAATATATTCTCTTGTCAAGCACATCCTTCTTTTGTTTGAAGCAGTGAAAGATTCTATTGCTGTAATCCATGGACACGCTTTCAGCAGTGACTGTGCCCCTTCCATAGCCCACACGACAGACTGAGAGCTGCTCACGACACCCTGGGAGAGGCTCATCCGCAGAAGTACGGAACCTCAGCCACGGTAAGGGGAGAAGGGATGATACGGCTGATCTCCCTCGAACACGTGCTGATCAGGTAGCTCTAAATTACAGCCAACGATGTTCTCTGTTATGCACATTTTTTTCCCTAGAATTACCTTTTCCGTACTCTTAAAAATGAAATTGTGTGAGGTGCTCATCTTAATAAATAGTTTGTCTTTATGCTTTTCTTGAAAAACCTTCTCTACATATTATTTTAAACACCAATATCAAAACTGAAACCATCTATCTCCCATCTGCAACTAAACAATTCTGGGAGACAATTTTCTTTGCAGCTCGGTAAAGTGCTATGGCAGCAAGATTTCCAGTGAGCTGCTTAATCTGGGGGGATGAAAACCCAAAACACTCACTAATTAAGTGTTTGAGAGAGAAAATGCTCTGCCATGAATCTGCCCCCCGCATTTACAAGGCACTGACAGTACACGAAAGGAACACCTTGGTCCATCTTTAGGAGAGGCTCCAGGGGAAGCCTGGCTCAGCCTCTTCATCAAAACACGAACCACAAACTCCAGGAGTTTGGAAAGCCACCTGTTAATGGGTTTTGGTTTAGGCTTTTTTTTCCCCCCAGCCCTCTGCACCTCTGGGGCTTTTGTGGCACCGGAGACAAATACAGCACGGTGCCAGCACGGCGACGTCCGAGGGACTCCTGGTCGCGGCTGGAAATACCTGCGCTCAGAGATTTTTCATAAAAGCCCCGTGCAAGGTGGAGCTCAGCCTCTCGCTCGGATGCCGCTGCTTATCCCATGCGATGCTACTCCTGCCAGGACTGTAAATGACTGCTCCGTTCACCCCCGATTTCTGGACTGCATCCTCCCACTTCCGCTGCCAAGCACTAGCGCAGTGTGCACTGGGCTATTTTACAGCGCTTGCTTAGAGCTTTTCTGCTAGACGGCCTCAAAAATGAGCACAGAGAGACAACCCCAGCGCAGTCTGACCTAGTAAACACCAACTAACCCTGCAGTCCTGCCACGCAGCCTTGGGAAGTGCCTTTGAGAAATCACGGATTAGGATACCCGTAGTATCCACACTTCCCAGCTGCGACAGCAGATCCGTCAGGAACCTTAGCAACCAGCGGATCTCAGGCCCTCCCTCTCTCACCTACACGCTGCTCTCCCACCAGACGATGCACTGCCCCGCTTTCAGGCCTCCCCATCACCCGGAGGTTTTCCGAGCCGTTTGTAATACCTTGCCAGAGGGAAGCTCCAAAAAAAATCCGGCCGCGGCCCCAGGCCTGCACCCCTGGCAGCCACCGTCCCGGCTGCGAAGCTCAGGGTGCTGGCGCTACGGCGGATGCAGTGCAGCTACTCCCATCGCTCACTCCGACTTCCTAATGGATTCGAGAAACAACTAATTCATGCTTGTATCAAATATTACAGCGACAAACCTATATTCATGTCACAGGCTCACTGCTGTTGCTACATTTTTGGACCATCTGCCTGCCTTTTATTTCATTCTACGACATATACATTAAATCTTATCAACCAACCAATTAAGAAAGAAATCAGATCTATTAGCACTAGAAGCAATCAGTTATGGCTTCTCAAATGTTCCATCTCATTTCCCTCAGTCACTTCAGCCTTATCTAGATCTAGCTTTTTATCTGTCCACTCGGTGGGATCACCAACTCCTCTGCCAGGCACAATCCAGCAGCTGGGGGGGGGACACAGAAAGCACCCCTTCAGCAGGCCTGCTCTGCTCTGCGCTTTGTCATCTCTCCCAGTTACATCCTGCCAGCAGAGCTGCAGAACTTCTGGTTTCTCCACGTTGGTGCTGGTGGCGTGGCCTCTCCTAACTACACAGCAGGCTGCCTCGGCTCGTGTGGGAAGATTTTTGGACACCACTTACTGGAGGAATTGCTATAAAACATCTCGTGCCAATGGGACTGAAACCAGCAACAAGGCGTAGGGCTGCAGACCAAGGGGCCGAGGTGCTCCGTGCTCTCAGGCTGTTTGGCTGGTTCCAGGCATCCATGGCCGCCACGGGGATGCCTGCTGGCACGGAAGAGCTGCCCAGCA